AAGTTAAAAACTCAAAAAAAATAGGAGTGGAACATTGGAGTCTGATACACAATCAGCCCTTGTTGAAAACGAATTTAATAAAACCTCCGACTATCTCATAGAAAAAGGGTAAATCCCTTCAAGAGACACTCGTGAGAGCAAAGATGTAATTAGAAGGCAATAATGCGACGCGACCACAAAAGGCAGCCACATGGGGAGTCCATGCCGGTCTGTCTTTATTTTTATAACCATTTTCTAAGAAAGCTAAAAACGAACAAGGCTACTGTATTAGACAATGCTTCTGCACGTTTTCTTAAGGACAGAGCCATGGTTATTTCGGAGTGCTTGACGCACATAATCAACCTTTCCTTTTCATCTGGAGTGGTGGCGCATGACTAGAAGACTTTAAGAGTTGTTCCGTTACTCAAGTCTGGTAACAGAGAGGAAATAGATAATTATCGCCCCATGAAAATAAGATTTTTTTGAATATGAGCGAGACTGAATATGTCATTTATGGATCACGCCAACGGTTAAATAGGGAGGATAGTAGAAGCTTATCCTTCAGTGGACCTCCTTCGACAGAATCCGAGTGTTTCAAATATCTTGGCTTCATAACCGATCAGCACTTGAGTTTTACCAGCAATATTGAGCACGTAGTCAATATGGTCTCGAAGAAATTAGCTGTTTTTAATTGCTTGAGAATCTTTATTCCTATGGCTGCTGCTGAACGCCTTTATAAGATGATGATTTTATCGATTTTTGACTTCTGCGACGTGACCTGGCACGGGTGTGAAAAAGTGAACTTTTATGCCCTCGAGAGTCCAGAGCACAGAGCTGCGAAGCTAATTTTTCCAAACTCTGGTCCTGATACAGAACTGAACGCTACTGTGGGTTTAGTTCCCGAGATTAATAGACGTAATCTTCAAATTGTTCTGTTAACTGAAAAATGCATTGATGGTTAATCACCAACGCCTGTAATAACAGTCATATTCCAAAGGTCAACTTAGAGGTCACTGGCCGATCTTTTTGTTTTATTGGTGAGATGGAATATAACGGTCTTCCTCACCATATTGAATCAAAGGAATCCTTCACTGAATTCTTAAGAGACCCTAAAGACTTTTTTCTTAATTAGATGATAGGTATTATTTATAGATGCATATTTATTTTATATATTTGACCGTATGATTATTATCTTAGGGTTATTACTGTGACCTGTTTAGACCTTTTGTATTTTTACTAATGTTGTTGTTCTTGTTGTTTTTTAAACAGAACCCCTTTGATACCAGTGTCTTAGACTGACGGGGTTATCCTGTCTAAATATTGTAATTATTATTATCTAATGTAGCAGTTATAATGCTTCTGGCCCCGGTTGTTCGAAGGGCGGATAGCGCTATACACTGGATAAATCTCTATCCGGTGGATAGCGCAGTACGTTTTGGTAACACTTATCCGCTGGATAGCGATTTATCCGTTGGATAACGTTATCCGCTCTTTGAACAACCGAGGCCTGGTCGTTTAACAGTTTCATTTTACGTTACATGAGGGGGGACTCGGGCCCCCCCTGGGTCCATCCCCTATATCTGTTTCGTTTAGTAAATAGCCGTTGCCTATGAACNTCGTATATAAAATCTCGACTGCGGTATAAACTTTAGAATATTCTCGATTATTGCTAATAATTCTCGACTACCGCTTATAAATCTCAATTGTTGTTCATTTATTCCAACTACCAAATAGAGTTATTCTCGAGTATCGGATAGTCTTTTGGACTATCGTGTATACAACTCAACTATCGCGTGTCAAACTCGATACGCTTTTGTCCGCTTTGGCTTGCCATAGTTTGTGGTGGTCGTCTGAGCTGACCAGTTCCGAGTAAGGAAACAATATCCACCACTGGTGTATATCAATTCCTCTGATATGATTGGTCTAGACAAAACCAGACTCTTGTGGCAGAGAGAAGATTGGGACGATAATTTTTCTTGCTGCTTCTAGTGGCGGACATGTGGTAATGCCGGAAGGGATGGCAGAACAAAATTCAAAATTTCAAGAGAGACATCATAGACTTATTTTTTTCTTTATTACTATATTATAAAATCTATATTTCCACAGACGTGTCATCTCTATTCTCACAATTACACGTATCTTGCTGGAAGTGCTTTTTTTTTGTATCAAATTCTATCCGTTCCCACTAAGACACCTCGTGGAAGGTAGCGACCGATGAAATAAAATAATTATTTACTTCAATCTCATCTGCAATTTCCTCATGAATGTTAAAGGAATGTCTCACACCAGAAGTGGTTCTGCAATAATTTCAGAGAGGATCTAGATTCTAAATATTCTAAAAGAATACAAGGGAAAGACGCGAACATGTACAGGACACTCAGACTCATGTGAGGCGCCCACTCAAGGGTATGAACATTTGCAATTATACAAACATAAATAAAATTAAAGTTAACCTAATAATGGCGACATGGACAATCCCCGGAGATGAACAAAGAGCGTACCAGGTCCACATCAAAACTGACATTAAATGAACAGTAGCCTCTATTTTGCGCGAAAATATGCTTGTTTATTTGTCCGCGGACTTTATCTGTTCCAAAATGCGAACAGCTTTCCGAGAGAGAAGCTCGAGGAAAACTGTGGGCTTCGAGCCAATGTCCAAGGACAATTATACAAGCACATGCATTTTCGCGCAAAATAGAGATTATTCTGTTTATCATCCTTCAAATATTTTGCAACGTACGTGAAAAAATGTTTGCGAACAGCTTACTGTATGTATCATGGGATGTTTTTTTTTTAATGTTCTCTAGTATGACTTTTTCAATAAAAAACTATTCCACCTCCTCTACAACAACCACCAAATGCTTTCTCATCTTGAATTAAGTTTAAAACAAAAACTTATCGTAGTGGACGTAAGGTTTGAAAACTAGTGAAAATCACTTGGGTAATATTCTCGGATATCACCCACAGTTTTAGCTGGGAAAATTAGGTCACGTAATGCGTTTGAATCAATAGCGCGCAAGCAAAAACATTTCATGGATTACAACCGACGGTTAGTATTGACAAGAATGAACATATGGCTGCTTTTACGACGGGTCAGGCTACTAGTCAGTCAGTATTGATCCCACAGAAGCTATATTTAACAATTATTCGCCGAAGGCGAGGTGAATGTTGTCGAATAGTCCCCGAGACGAAGTCTCGGGGACTATTCGACAATATTCACCGAACCTGAGGCGAATAATTCTTTTAGTATAATTTCAGAGCTGAACAACAGAGAAATTTCTAAAATCATAACATTTTAGTAACATTTATTAACATTTTATTTTAATATTTTATATAAACCGCGTGGAGCGGTTCATATAGCGTCATATAAGGAACCGCTCGACCAATCAGATTGCTGGAAACTCGTTGCTCAGCTCTGAAATTATACTAATATATATACATGTGAGGAAATAGCCGATACCGTTGAAGAGTGCTCAATACACATGTGCAGAGCTTTACAGTAGGTAGCGATCAAACAAGACGACACATGGTTTCTGTTTACTCGGAGTTTTGGTGCTCTGATGAGTGCGTAAGCACGAAACTCCGAGTAACAGAAACCGTGTATCGTCTTGTTTGATCGCTACCTACTGTATAAGTATAGATATATATATATAACTGATGAAGAACGTCATGGCTTTGGTATCGTCATAATCAATATTAATATTATGTCAATTTGTTACCATGTGATGGAAACAGTCCTATTCCTTGGTTTTTATTTTCATCTCGGTGCGTTTTAGAGAGTAGTAATAGCCCCTGAATGCATACCAGTTGACGCCATTGGCATAAGAGCTTTGTCGGCCATTGAGATATAAACCGTTTAAATTGGAAGCATGGCATTTGCTGTACCACCAGGC